GAGTTCGGGGTGTACTGATCGGAGCGTCCGGTCAACATGACCGGAGCATCCGGTCACCCTGCAGAGGCACGTAACGGTTCGTTTTTCAGCCGGTGTTATAAATACCACCTCCACTCGTGTGTGGGGGTACTTTTGCTCATTCCAACAGCTGAGAAACACCTTTGAGAGTGCCAAGAAGAGCAAGGTCCTAGTGAGGTGATTGATATTTGAGAATCCCAAAGAGAGCCCTCATTAGTGAGATCAAGAGTAGCAAAGTGTGCATCCACCCTTCTCATTAGGCTTGTCGTGGTCAAGTGAGAGTCCATGCTTGTTACTCTTGGTGATCGCCATCACCTAGATGGCTTAGTGGTGATTGAGAGCTTGGTGCTCATCCGGAGAGCTTGTGGATAACCCAACTCAAGTTGTGAGCGGTTGTGGGTGATTCACCGCGACAGAGTGTCGAAGAATCAACTCGTAGAGAGCACTTGATCCTTGCGCGGATCAAGGGGGAGCTACACCCTTGTGCGAGTGCTCCAACGAGGACTAGTGGGGAGTGGCGACTCTCCGATACCTTGGCAAAACATCGCCGCGTTCCTCCTTCTCTCTTTACTTTGAGCATTCACTTTGAGCAATTTAATTCTTGTCATTTACATTCCTAGAATTGCCGTGCTTGAGTAGGATTAGAACTTATGGTACTAAACTCTTGTGCGTTAGACTAATAGAAACATTTTTTAGGCACAAGTGTTAATTGGGCTAACCGTAGGATTTAATTATTATAAAAAAATTTAGAATTAACCCAATTCACCTTTCTCTTGGGCATCTTAATCCTTTAGAGTAGTAGTGGTGTATACACCCAACTGTTAATTAAATCTACTACGCACTGGCCTGATTACCTTTTTATCAGAGGTTTTGCGCGCTAGCTACCTACCCGTTGACTTGACATATTTTCTTCCTTTCCAAACTACTAGTAGTTTGTTTGGTCAAATATATATAACTAGCAAATATGCTCGTGCGTTACAATAGGGGAGAAAAACTATCTAATATTTATAGAAAACGATGATGAGAAAATAGTACCTAGTATCCATGTTTTTATTTTTTCCCCTGTTTGTGCTTTGTTTATCCACTTAGGTAGTTTTGGTTTTTTTTCCATAATAAATTAACATAAAATAATAAATGTAGTATTATGAGTCTTTTAGCCATAGACTCTTTTCTAAAAAAATTCACCACCAAATTATTCGTTTATAGTTTTGATTGGAAATAAAATTTGTTGTTGGTGGACCCCTGCGTTTTTTAACATGAGTTCTAGTTATTGAAGCGTGTAAACCACTTTAATCATTCAATTTGGAAAACAGTAGGCTGCTCTTCCCTTATGATCGCATTTTTTTGTTAGTTATAAAGATAATATAGGGTGGATAGTATTTTCTATATACAGTATATATATGCATATAGACGGAAACGTGCGATTTTTTTAATCTACATTATTGCTCAACCAAACATGCAGGAAACGTGTAGGCGTAGCACCGACTTGGCCAGCACGGTGGACTGGGACGGCACGGCCCGGTGGCCCGTCGTGCTCTACCGTGCCGTTCCCTGCCGGGCCGTGCCTGGCACGGGCCCATGCCGGGCCGGGCCAGGCAGTCCGAATGGCCAGCTATAGTAATATCAGACTCGAAAACAAAATCAGAAATCCTAGAACTCTCGGGAAAAAAAAATCAGAAATCAAAACCAAGAATCGATCAATCAGTGTGGAGTCGGATTTGAACTCAAAGACACCACGTTCCCAATGGTCTGGTGACCGAGGCTTCTCCCAGATTGAGATCCTATTTTTTCTATTTTATATCTATACTATTATTTCCTCTAATTTGGAAACAGCTTACTACCAGAAACGTCAAATTTGCCGAGTGTTTTTATGTTTACCGAGTGTTTTTTCTCGGGCACTCGGTGAACAAGTTCTTTGCCGAGTGCTACGCTAAAAACCCTCGGCAAAAAAAACACTCGGCAAAGAGAAGATTTACCGAGTGTAAAAAAAACACTCGGCAAAAATAGGGTTTGTCGAGTATTTTCTTTTTTGCACTCGGCAAAGAAATAAAATCTTTTTTCTGGGAAAGAAGGAGAAGAAAAAAAATGAAAAAAACTTTGCCGAGTGCCCAGATCTAGGACACTCGGCAAAGGACAAAATCCTACTTAATTCCCTGCCAAGCGTCCCTCCCCCCCCTTCTTCTTCCATGGGCGCCCTCCCCTCCCATTCTTCTTCCCCGACGGAGCCCCCCTCCCCCCTTCTTCTTCCATGGCGCCCTCCCTCCCATTCTTCTTCCCCGATGGAGCCCCTCCTTCCCCTTCTTCTTCCCCATGGTGCCCCCCTCCTCCCTCCCCTCCTCCATTTCCGGCGCCGCCCTCCCCTCCCTCTCCAGTGTGCCCCCTCCTCCCTCCCTCCTCCCTCTCCTGCCTCCTCCTCAGATCCGCCCGCCCATGCTCTCTCTCCAGCGCCACCGCGCCGCTCCCCTCCCTCCAGGGGGCCCTTCACGGCCGCGCGCGAGGCAACCCAGCCCCTCCTGTCTATGGCGCAGGGCGGCTCGGCCCCTCCCGGCGATGCGGAGCAGCAGCAACAGCGGGTGGCGGTGCAGATCCGCTCTCCTCCCCTCCCTCCATGGCTCCACCGGCGGGTGGCATCGCGGATCTGGTGGGATGGAGCCACCACGGCGCGGATCCGGTGGAGAGGTGTCCTTTGACGACGGATCCGGTGGGTTGGATCCCGGTGGCGGTGGATCCGTGGATCTGATGGTTAGGAGCCCTCCGGCGGCAGGCTCCACGGCGAGCAACGCGGCGGCGGCCCCTCCCCTCCCCTTCTTCTTCTCCTGGTCGGATCCGGCCATCCCTCTCCCTGATCCGGCCAGTGGCGGCCGGCGGCGTGGTGTGGTGGTGGCGGCGGCGGCTTTGGTGGTGGTGGCCGGCGTCGGGGCGTGGTGGCGGCGGCGGCGGCTTTGGTGGTGGTGGTGGCTGGCGGCTGTGGTGGTGGTGCCACCGGCGACTTGTTTTTTTCCCGAAAAATGTTTGCCGAGTGTTTTTTTTTTACTCGGCATAGTCTTTGCCGAGTGCCCGACGATTGACACTCGGCAAACAGCTCTTTGCCGTTAAAACCTACGCCGAGTGTCATTTGCCGAATGTAACACTCAGGCAAACGCTTTGCCGAGTGCCCTTGGCACTCGGCAAAGCTCCTGTATCCGGTAGTGTCTGCAAAAAACAGTTGCAAAATATAAATGGAAACCATCCCGTACGGTTTGGAAAAATATAAAAGTCGATTCTCAAACAAAAAGTCTCGAATTATTATTCCTATTCAAATTACTCAAAACCGAAGAAATCTATTTGGATTAGAATTAGGATTCCTAGCTATCATAACTATCTAGGGTCATATAAGTCTAGACGGAAGAAACTATCGACTACCGATAGTTAGGGGGAGGTGGATGAAAAAAATAGATGGACGAAAAAAATGATCGAAAATTTTGCCACTTTATTATTAGGTATAGATTATCTGATCTATCCGTTGCATGCAAATTAAAACTCTAGCAAGTGCACCTACATGCATGGCGCATCATGTCATATATCTAATGTACTGTCAGTGGAAAACTGACACAGCATACACGTTCATGAAGATAGACAAATTAATACCAAAATTTGTCTGGCCTATATATACTAGCTAGATATACATTTTCTTTTTTCAAATGTTGGCAAATGTTTTGACCCTCTATTAGAAAGAAGAAAAAAAAGAGAGAATGAGCGCACAGTCTAGTTTTCATCGAGTAGAAACTAAGCCAAAAAAAAAACAACCACATAGGTGGTAAAGGTGCACCAACCTCGTGCACAACTACGGCACACACAACCACCGTTCAACCGATCAATATGCAGTAATAACTTGACTATATATACCACTCTCCATGGAAATTTGACAGTAATTTCAATCCACCAATCTCGACCATCGTCCATATTTATTCTTCTTTGTCCCACTGATCTTCCTCATCTTTAGGCCGTCACTAGATCTGCTAATGATATGCATGCCAAGCCGCCCACCTCTATTTTCCGCGGCCCTCCCTATGTTAGTTGTTCGTTTGCCGGGAGTATGTGGTCTGGTCTCGTCTCTCGTGAGATGCGAAAGAGCTCACCCAACCTGTCTATCGAGGAAATGAGTTTTGTTTTCGTTTCCAGCGGGTCTAGATCACTAGATGTGTGATGTGTCTTCTGACTAATGATATAATTAGCAAATAATTAGTATGCATTAAGTGTTATTGGTATTTTGAAAGTCAATTAAGGCTTAATACATGTTCTCATAGGGCAACTAAAGTACTACATGTCTTATCAATCAGGCTGGATAAATAGGAGCAACCAAACAAAGGTCATGTTCGCTTGTCTTATAATCCGTACTTTTCACCTTTTTCAGTCGGAACAATATTTTCTCTTACAACAAATCAGCTGAAACAGTGTTTCAGCTTGTTTTTTCAGCGAAACGAACAGGGCCAAAGTAGCCTCGATCATAACCTTGCAAGACATAGCTTAAATGAGCCTTCAGATTATATGAGTAAGGGTAGGTGTCAGTGTCACCAAACTGGCTATTCATTCTTTTTTTCGGGTCTGTTCGGCTGGTATTAAAGTCGACTGATAAACCGACTGAAGCTGTTTTATTGTGAGAAAAAAATACTGTAGATTCTAGCTAATAAGCCATATGTACGTATACACACTCTGCTCATAACTTTACAGTTTGGGAGCATCAAAATTAAAATTCGTTAACCGCTTCATCTTTCCCTGATTATTCCATCGTATTGCGTCGATCTCGCAAATATATAATTTATTTTTTATTACTTTGAAAAATCTGATACCTACGGTACAGCATACGTATATAGCTGGGTTAGCCAGCCTGCATTCTAAACTCTGCTGACGCTGACAACTGGGCCCGGGGTCTTCGTAACTGTACCCGTACAATTCTTGTTACTCCTAACGAACTAGTAGTAGTAGTAGTACTAGTGAAAGTACTACGCCGACAAGGTCCTGCGCAGCAGCGACCGCGCCAACCAGCCGCAGGCGCCGGCACCGCTGCCGCGGCACATGTCGTCAAGGGCGATGACGAGCGCCATGGCCAGCTGCGCGCCGAGGCGTGGCCCCGGCACGACGAGGCGGAACACGTCGTCGCCGACGGCCTCCTTCCTCTGCACCTCGGCCACGACGGCGCCCCCGCGCGCGGCGTCGCGCACCGCGCAGGCACGGCGCCCGTAGGAGCCCTCCACCACGTATGGCGCCGCCGCCGCCGCCTCGGCCCCCGGTGTGGCGACGCGCGCCAGCGTCTTGCCGGCGCTGGTGGCGCCGAGGAGGCGGCGGCCGGCGGCGTGGCGGCGGACGGAGAGCAGCGGCGTGGCGCTCTTGTCGGCGTCGGCGTCGCCGTCGTAGATGACCCAGCAGCACTCGGCCAGGCCGAGGCGCGTCTTGCGGCGGACCGTGAGGAGCGGCTTCCCCCGGGCGTCCATGAGCACGACGTCGTCGGCGCGGCGGCGGCGCCTGCGGGAGCCGGCGTAGCAGTCGACTCGGAAGGCGAGGTCGCCGCGGGCGTCGAAGACGGTGAAGCCGTCGCAGTTGAAGAGCAGCGACTTGCGCCACACCGTCAGTACCGTGGGCGCCTCGTCTCCCTCGGCCGCCGCCCGGGCCGGGCCAGTGGTGGCGCCGCCGGGTGTGCCGGGCTCTGGTGGAGACATGGCGTTGGGGTGGACCTTGGCCATTACTCCGCCTTTTCCTCTGTTAGATCCTCTGCTTCAGGTGTCTCTGCTTCGGCCTAGCTTGCTATGGCGGCAAGCTAGCTACTTGGAGAAGCCAAGCAAGGAGCCTCTCCTGGTTGGATGGAGGTGGGGAGAAGTTGGGGGAGAGGCGCCGGGAATTTATACCCGGCCGGCCTGAGAAGACGGCTATCGCACGTGGGCCCCTGCTTAGCTCTGCTCTGGTGGGCGGGCGGCGGACCTCCCCTGCTCTGCGTGACAAGTGACCATCACCATCCGTCCCAGCGGAGGGCGAGCACCGGAATGTTGGCGGGGAATATTTGCCACTTTTTTCTTTCTTCCAATTTTTCAACTGAGGCCGCGTTCACTTCCCTGCCGATTCGGCATTTGCACAGTATTCGAGGAGCCGACGAACACGGTAGTAATTTTGTTTATATTTGTGAATTATTATTCAAATATTGACTAATTAGGCTCAAAAGATTCGTCTCGCAAAGTTCAACTAAACTGTGTAAATAGTTTTTGATTTCATCTACATTTAGTACTCTATATATGTACCGCAAGTTTGATGTGATGGGTAATCTTTTTTTTACGTAGTGGCAAATTTTAGATTTCGATGAACTAAACGTGACCTGAACAAATATTTCTCCGCCTATTTTTCCGGCGTGAATCGGCGTGAACAAATGGCTACTGGCTTGCCGGCCAGTAGATAGATTAAAAAAGAAAGAAAAACATGACCAACCAATGTATTAGGAGTATTATTAAGGTTCTATTTTGATAGAGCTGTCGATTTGGCTGCAGGTCCTTAATGACTTAGTCATGTACCATAGAGCGGATGAAGTCACTAATTTTTTTAGTTCACCAGCTTTGGCCCCGTTCACTTCGCTGAAAAAACAAATCGAAATACTGTTCCGGTTAATTTGTTGTGAGAGAAAAATACTGTTCCAACTAAAAAAATAAACTAAAAAATACAAATTATAAGAGAAGCGAACAGAGCCAAAGGATAAAGCTAGCTATTTTTTTTTAGTTCACCAGCTTCGACTCCTCGACTCCTCCACGTAAACCAAGCTAGTAAAGAAAATATCTAAACCCAGGCTTTTGCTTTTCTAGCCGCATAAACCAAGCTGGGTATTTCTAGTTACTCCATTTTTTCTACCATTTCGAAACTCCTTGTGCGTTGAATATACATATATTCACATAGTCCTTAAAAGCCACATATACTAAACATTTTGCTGTAATTATAGTACTCCCTCCATCCACGAAATAATGCAATTCTCGTTTTTCAGGAAGTCAAACAGTTTATACTTTAACCAAAATTATATAAAAAATATTAACATTGACGATATAAAATTAGTATCATTAGATTAGTTATAGAATATATTTGCATAATAAATTTAGTTGGAGACATAAATGTGAATAATATTTACTATAAACTTGGTCAAACTTGAGCAAACTTGACCGACACGGATCCCATAATTACATTCTTTTATGGAACGAGGGAGTATAGTTTTATATATGTGACTTCAGAGGAAAATTAATATAATATATTATATATACTGTGGCCATCACACTCTATTGTAGTTTTGTTTCCTTTTTTACATCTATTCCAAATTATAAGTTCGTATTTGCTTTTCTTTTCTACATATATATCTTTGAACCTAAATATAGGTTATTTCAAAATACATAACAAAAGCTAAGTATATTTATAAAAAATAATTTATGATTTAGAATGGAGAGAGTATAAAGTAGAGTGTCTACCCACTCCACTACAATTAATTGACACATTACACATGACAAACTTGTCTTCCTTTTCTATAAAAAGTATGAAAGGTCAAGCATGCAGGCTACTGAGTCCTGAAGATAAGGAAAGAAAATGTGTTCGTGGCGGCAACTCGATCCGTTTTGTTTCGTAGCCCCTTCTCTTGCTTTCGGTAATGGAAAACAGATGCTGCAATCAGCATTCTCTAGGGAGCCTTTTTGGTGACGCGTGTATGGAGAGGCATGGAAGTATCACTTGATGTTTGTAAGATTGCAGCTGCGTCATACATGACGGCCCCCACGGCTCCCCAACCTAGCCCCGACCTGACGGCTCCCCTGCCGCCGCCCACGGCCCCCTCCCTCCCCCACCCCAGCCCCAAGGCCCCCGTGGGATCTGGCGTGGGTCGCCCGTCCGCGACGCCACCGTCGACGGACCTCGCTGCCTCGACATCCGCCACCAACCCCACCAGTTCTGTCACAGCCTTCCCCGCCACCTCCGCCGCCGATGAAGCCCACCACGCCGCCGCCGTCTCCGGGGCCGCCACCATGGCCGCCGCCACCGCGGGATACGGCGCAGGGTGGCCCTCCATGCCACCTCCGCCGCCGCCGCCGAGAATGGGCTCTGGCAGCGCGGCCGCCGGGCCAACCCCCACGGGAGCCGGCGCTGGATCGTCGCGGGCTCCATCCCCGGCATCGCCGACGACGACGCCGGTGCAGGCGCCATCTTCAGTCCTACCCCACCACCACACGATGAAGGACGAGTCGCTGGTCGTCGTCGAGGATGTCTTGGAAGACGAGGACGAGGATGAAGACGATGACGGCGTAGCGGCTCCAACGATGGCTGCGCGGACTCCCTCCCCGTCGCTGGCGCCGCAGATGCTGGGTTCCGCGGTTGCGGGCACCTCCCTCTGTGCGGACGTCGGAGTCGAGATGGGCGCCCCTTGGATGCGTGCGGTCTCCATGTGTAGGAGCTCCTCCCTGTCTCCTCTCGCCACACCCTTCTTCCCAGCCAAGCAGTATGCGGGCAGATCCAAGGCTCTGTGATGGATGGAAGACTCCGGCGACTCCGATTTCGACTGCGCGTCCTCTGCCCAGTCACCATACCTGGAAGCAGCTTTCCGGCCATCGAGGTGACGGCCTCGCCCATGCCTGCAGTGCCGTGTGAGGGGGATAGCTCTGCCTTACGTCCGGTCATCATCACCAAGAAGAGGCGGCGCCGTCGTCGTCGATCCAGGACCAGGGACGTTGATGGTCCTCTAGCGGCGCCCCCACACCCTACCGCTAGGGTGCCCACGCACCAGCGGCTCGCCCCACAGCCGGTCGTCCGTGTGCCCGTGCACTAGCACCTCGCCCAGCGGCCTAGGGCGTCGGCGCCTGGCGGCCTCCATCGTCGCTGTCGTGAGCCAGGCCCTAGGTTCATGACGAACGCCAGGCGACCTCCGACGCCGCCACGCATGCATCCTCCCGATGCGCTTCATCGACGCCACGTTCCTCGAGCGATAACGCTTTTTGACGCCGATGGATTCACGCTTGTTCAAAGCCATCGGCGCGGGCACCGCCATGCCCCACCACACCCTCGTCGCCAGCGGCCAGTGCCGTCTTCGCTCGTCGGTCTCTACTTCAACTGTCTGGCTGGGGACCACATCGCCGCACGGTGCACCTTTCCATCCCGCTGCCTTTTTTGCCTCAGCACGGAGCACCGGGTGAGGAACTGCAAGCACGGTCGTCCGCCCCGACGGCTTTCCTCGGAGGCTCGGACCGGGTGCGGGAGCCTCCAAGGCGCAATCTTCGGCGTCGTGTTGTTGGAGGCAACCATGATCGCGTTGGTTCGCACCCGTGCTTACTCCGTCTTGGTTGCCATGCCGAAGATTACGACAATGGCGACGACGGCCAGGACATCGATGGTGCACCGGAGCCGCAGCTTGAGCCTAGGTGGAACCCAACTTTCCAGCAAGCGCCACCCTATCATTGTCGGATAGATTCTGTGCCAGGCCCAACTGTGTATCGGTCCTTCGTCGTCTGGGCCATGCAAGCAGTATCTACTGCTGAAGGGTGCGCAACGTCACCGGCCCTCGTCACGTCCGGTGTCATCTTCCCCCTACCCGTCGCCCGAGGCCTCCCAAGAGTTTGAAATTCAAATTCTGTCGCGGCCTCAACCACCACTCCCATGGATGGATCCGATGCTTTGTGACTCTGACTTGGATGCCACTGTTCGAGCCCAGCCAAAGTTCGCGGCCTCGGAGCAACCGCTTCCGGTCTTGGAGCTGGACATGGTGCTGCAAAGTAGCCCTCCACTGGCGTCCTGGACTTCGGGGCTGGAAGCTGACGAGCAAGCGCAGCATCAACGGCTCTCCGTCGGGGCCTCCAACGACGAGCACGAAGGGCAGCCCGCTCAGCCCACCGATGACGGCCCATCAACGCTGGTACACGGGACGGACCCCCTCCTACTTTTGTTGCAGCCTCGCCTTCAGTCCAACCCACCTCTGTCGAGGACTTCATCGCCGGTCTAAACCTGCTGCTCGAGAAGCCGCTGATCCAGTCGCCGCTGCGCCTTCGTGTTCGCGCGTGCGGGTCGAGAACCTGGTGCCGCGCCGCAGGGATAGACTTGCTGCTAAGTCCGTCTATCGCGACCTGAACCCGGAGAAGCATGCCAAGCGGGTCATGCTCAGTAAATGGCAGCCATCGGTGAGCGCCCCACGGTCAGCGCCGGCGTCGCCTGACGCGACCATCACCACTCGGTTCTCGACGCGACCATCACCACTCGGTTCCACGAGACGTTCCAAGAGCCGTTGTCGTCATCCAAGCGCGCAGCAATGCGGGAGCTCTTCCCCATGGCTGGTGCTCGTGGGAGGCGGGCGGCGACGCAGGAGTCTTGAGCAAGAGTTCGCTCAACGTCGCAAGCTCTTCAGTCGCACATTTAGTTTATTAGTTAGTTACAACAACGTGCATTCCACCGCCTAGCGGTGCCTTGTGTTTGTGGTTAATCCCATCGTTTATGGCACCTCGCCATGGTGTGATGTTGGAAATGTAAAACTTCTAACTTTTTCTTAATGAAACACGTGCTACACAGGAGAGGCATGGAAGTGCGTACCGAAGCTAAGGCCTAAGCATGCGAGTCGTCGTCACTGGTTTGGCTCCTGTTGCTTACCATCAACCACTGATCACTTACAAGAATGCTTTTATTACTGGATATCTTATCTTATCTCTACGGATATTGGGAGCCATCTAAGACCGTATTATTTCTAAAAACA